TATGCTATGACATGTACTCGCCCTAATGTGGCTTTTTCTTTGAGCATGGTCAGCAGATATCAAGGGAATCCTGGTAAAGCCCACTAGACTGCAGTAAAGAACATTCTCAAGTACCTTCCAAGGACAAAGAACTGGGTCCTTACCCTTGGTGGGAGTGATGACTTGAGAGTGACAGCGTATAGTGACGCCAGCTTTCAAACTGACAGAGATAATTTCCGCTCTCAGTCGGGTTGGGTATTTACCTTTAATGGAGGAGCAGTAACTTGGAAAAGTTCCAAACATGAGACTGTAGTTGATTTAACGTGCGAATCAGAGTACATAGCAGTGAGCGAAGCATCGAAGGAGGCAATATGGCTAAGTAACTTCATCGGAGACCTTAGAGTTGTACTAGCTGTAAAGGATCCTATGGAGATTTTCTGTGACAACGAGGGTGCGGTCGCCTTAACCAAGGAACCAAGGGATCATGGCAGATCCAGGCACATCGACAGAAAATATCACTTTATAAGACATCGAGTAGAAGAAGGATTCATCATAGTGAGGGGAGCATCGTCAGAGGAGAACCAACAGATCCCCTTACGAAGGGACTGAGTAGGGTTAAGCACTTGCAGCACGCTAGGAATATCGGGCTGAAGGACGATATTAGTTTTAGTGATTAGATAGATATTTAGAAACTTGTAATAACTTAAATGTAATTGACATTTGATGATTGAATAAAAGGAGTTTAATTTATAAGTAGAGTTACTATCTTGTGTCAATTGTTTACTATTGCGTCATTTTTGCATGTTTTGACTTCCAGAATAATAAGATTATTCAAACTATCCACAGTCGATCATACTTTGGAAGTAGGTTATGAGACTAGATTGTCATGAATGGGTTTGTAAGATTGTCTAAGGTGTTAGACATAGCAAAAGTTTGCTACAACATTCATGAGTACTCTTGAAATAAGATTTGAGTATTAGACTAAACCAGTGTTGCAGAAATCGGCCTTGGCGGCCGATTAATCGCTTGGCAGCCTTAAACCGATTACGATTAGGGTGCTTGGCGGAAATTGGTCAAAATCGGTCAAAATCGGCCTTGGCGGTCCTTGGCGGTCATAGGCGGGAATTTTTAAAAAAATTCAAAAAAATTTAATTTTCAAATATTACACCAAAATTTTAAATTTTCAAAATTTTAAGCTTTCAAATTTTAAAATATTAAACAAAAAATTGTCAAAATTTTAAAATTTTAAAATTTTAAATTTTCAAATACTTAGTTTTTTAGGGAATATTTATTTTTTAAATAATTTTATTAATAATTAAGGGTCCCCCGATTAATCACCGCCTAGTCCGATTAATCGCTTATCGCCAATCGACCGCCGAGCTACCGCCAAGCGATTTTTACAACCTTGGACTAAACCCACGCTCACATGAATCACTTCATGGAATTTATCACGAGTGATTGTGAGACGATAATATCGTATAGTCTTCTAACCAAGGTATATGAGTTGTTGATTATGAGTTGGTTGTCCATTGATAGTACGAAACCGCATTAGTAACTTGATGTTATAAAACGTATTATTGTGTATGATTTAACGAGTAGTTAGTACAAGCATATAAGTCAAAGTTTATATGTTCCTTTTATCCTAAGAGGATTAAAAGCGATATCTTGGGCCCCTCGATGATTTTGTTTTAACTTATGTGTCAGGCCCGGTCAGGACTCAATTGATGTGTTCAATTAAGTTCTATGTCAAACAAATTAGAAATAGGGAAACAAATTGTTAGACAATGAGTACGACTTTATTCCATGTATTTTTCCACACGATATCTTAAGAACAGAGGATTATATGATCCCTTATCTAATGGACGCATCAGAGTTCGACAACGGCTTTTGAGAGCTACGATTGCTAATCGGATTTTGAAGTTGTGCTTACAATTATAGTTATTAGACTTATCCAAGTGGGAGACTATTGGATTAGGTGTCTAAGCCCATAACTATAATTGGTATGTACTTGACCCGATAGTAGCATGGTCCATTTCGGGTTGCCTTCACCAAAACAATTTGATTTGATGGATATTTGAGAAAGAGGTTATTTGTGATTTATTAATATATTATAAGAATAATATAATAATTGAGAAATCATATTTTTTTAATTGGTATTTCTCAAGAATTACTTTGGAATTAATTTAGTGATCAAAAGAGACTAATTAAATTAACAGGGGCTGATTATGTAAATCAGTGATACATGTTATTTGGGCTAATGATCCATGATTAACTAGTTATGGACTAAGTTCATATAAGAGTTCATGAAGTGTTATTGTATTAAAAGTCTAAGTGTATGAATTAGGGTTTACAAATGACCCTTGGAATTCTACACTATAAATATGTTCCCTTAGCTCCAAAATTGGCACTCATGCATTCCTAGAAGAAGCCAGCCGATTTTGGTGTCTCCTAAGCCTCTCTCATTTTCCTCCAATTGTTCTTGGTGTTTGTGACTTGTTTGAGGCATCACACTTGGGGTGCTAAGCTCTTATAAGGTCAAGTTCTACAAGCTACTACAAGAGGTAATCATCTAATGAGGTTTTATGATTCAAATATCTAAGTTGTATGCTAGTTTAGGCTTCATGCTTTGGAAAAACAATATTGCATGTATAATTAGATAAAACTTAGATCCAAATCATTAGGGTTGTATGTGCACCATAGGGATGCTATAGTGCTCAAAACCCATCACATACATGATGGATCCAACAACCAAAGCATCTGGAACCCCACTCATTTTCTCTAGCTCAGCTCTTGTGCTAGGAATTTGAGATGATCTCAATATTGTTCCCTACACCATTGGCTCTCTTAGATTTTTCCATCTTGAAATGCTTCAAGACTTTTTCAATGTATGTACTTTGGCTTAAACCTATTAACTGTTTTGATCTACCTCTATGGATCTTTATACCAAGAATGTATACTAGCTCACCTAGATCCTTCATTGAAAAACACTTTCGAATCTAATACTTTACACCATGCAAAGTCAAAATGTGATTTCCCATGATAAGTATGTCATCCACATATAAGACTAGCAAGGTCATCGAGCTCCTACTAGTTTTCTTATAAACATAAGATTCATCTTCGTTTCTGATAAAACCATACTTTATGATTTCATCAACGAAATGAAGATTCCAATTTCGAGATGCTTGTTTTAACCCATAAATGCATCTCTTGAGTTTACACACTCTATTAATATGCTTTTGATCAACAAAACATTTGGGTTGAACTATATAAACATCTTCTTCAAAGAAATCAGGTTTGACATCTATTTGCCATATTCCATAGTCATAATATGTTGTTATGCAAAATAGTATCCAAATTGATTTAATCATAGTGACTAGATAAAAATTTTCATCATAGTCAACTCCATGAGTTTGATTGAATCCTTCAGTGATAATTCTTGATTTCAATGTGTATAAATTTTCATCCATGCCAATCTTCTTCTTGAAGGCCCACTTACTCCCAACGGTCTTAATAAGGGGAAGAAGTTCAACCAATTCCCAAACTTGATTATCTTGCATGTATTACATCTTTGCATTCTTGGCTTAAATCCATTAGTTAGATTTAGGATCTACCATAGCATTGTGATAACAGATGGGTTCATCAGATGTAACATCCTGTTTCGAGAAGTTTCTTATTTCGGGATGGTGGGCAAAAATGGATCGAGTAAAGGCCTTGGTCTTCAAGATAATAGGTTTTAGATCTTATTATATGTTGATAATATTGGTTATGTAACCTAAGCCCTTGTTTTATGTTTTGGAGCCACAGGGTAAAATGGGAAAAGTTATATGTTAGGCCTCTTGTGTGGATTTTGGTTTTTATTTCGACATTTGTTAAGCCAAAATGACAATGACTAATCTAGCAGGAAACGTGAGCATTACAGGTTGACGCGATACTACTTTTTGCGGAAGCCAATAATCTCGTGCAATCTAGACGTAATTTGAGGTCCGGGTGGGCAATCCAGACTTATGTTGTGGGCTCGGGAGCAATCCATACTTATCTTGTTGGCTCATGGGTAATACGGTCCGATGATTGTGGACCCAGCATGCATGTTTGTATATTTTCTGTTGTGTGGGGTATTTTGGGGGAACTCACTAAGCTTTGGCTTACAGTTGTTGATTTCAATCTTTTTAGGTACACTAGATGATCGGGGCAAGGCGAAGGCGTGATCGTACGCACCCTCCTTCTGATTTATGTTTTGAGAGATTATTTGATACTCTGATTTTATGGATTTCATTTGAAAACAATGGTTGATCATCTTATGGTTTTGTAAAAAATATTTTATAAAAATGAAATTTTTTAATGGTTTTAGGGACGTTACATCAGAATTCATCATCATTGTGACAACCCAGAGAATACATCACCAACCGCCATTAATATTAATCGATAGGAAGTAAAAATGTAATAAGGACAACGTTGTAAACACACGATATATTTTAATATATTCGATCCGTCCTTAATTATGTCAGCCATTAGGCTAAAAAATAAGTGCACAAAAAGTGAAAGCAGGTTAGCATAATTAGACTCCATAAGTCACCGCGATTCCAGAAATATAAATTTTGTAAGAATCTGACACGGTATGGGTGAGATATGACATTTATAGTAAATAAATATCTACCGTACTTAAAAAGTTAGAACGACGAAAACTACAATGAGATTGGTTGACTTTTGGAAAAAGTCACCAACTAGGGCATCGTAGTACGACTTAAATTAGGAATTATGAGGCAAGGAACGCCTAAAACGGAAGTCATGAAAGAGTTATGATTTTTATAAAATCATAACGGTAATAAAAACTCATCGAAAAATGAAAGTCCAAACTAGACAAAACGACCAAAAGGAAAGTTGTAGAGAATGACAAGACCTACACGGATATATAAGAGTCGTTGAGAATGAAGTTCGTATGCGAGAGTCATGGAATTTCAAAGTTTAATTTTCACCGTCACACGCGCTCGTGTACGGTGCACCACACGCACCTATCAAACCATATGTCTGGATACGGGATGATGTGGCACTCGGAGATGTCGACATGTGGCAAAAATCTTTGGTTCACGCGCACTCCAAAACTTGCTATAAATAGCAAACTTCGGCATATCGTTTCCTCACCCCTCTCAAATGTTCTCTCTCTCTATCTCAATTTGTGTGTCACTGCCCTGGGCTCTTCTCGAAGTGATAACGTGTGGTTTCTACCCTATAACAACGTTTTAATAACTCACAGGTGAGTTCACGGCCCAATGTCCAAATCTTTTTTTTTTGGGGGGGGGGGGGGGGGATACATGTTTAAAAATGGAAATTTACGTAGTTATTACTAATTTTATTTAGATAATTATGCTCATAACATTAGGATGATATTATGCCCGGTAGATACTCTGCCCAAATGTTTTAGCTAATATTTAGTATACCCAATGTATTACTCAATGTATATCTTTGTCCTGAATCCCAACATCCTAATGTCACACATCTTGGCGCTTCCACCTTCAGCCAGGGGTGTGACAGAGTGGTATAAGAGCTTCAGATTATAGCGAATTAGTAATTCCTTATGAAATAAAACTATAATCTAGGGCTACACTCTGATTAGGTTTGACAGTTTAAGCCTAATAAGTTAATGGGTATTAATATTAATTACCCTACTTCTTGACTACTTACGGGAGAGGTGACTAGTTTGAACTATCACTTGGGTTGTTGGATTTCAGAATGGCTATATGCTAAAATAGTCCTACCCTATGGTACATATCACCTGGTCGATCCTTACTTGATAGTCTTGGAGTACAAAACCCTAAAAATTAATTCAACCAACCCAACAAAAGACTAAAATATATAGAGCGATATAGATACGCTCATACAAGTATATCTACTACTCACCAACACGAACCCACGAAGTCTCAACTCAGGATTTTAGGTCAAAAACCATATTTAGAGTTGGTATAGTACAACGGTTGTACCACAACTAGACCTAGAATGTGCAACTAAGTTTTATTATGGTTCGAACGACGCACGACCGAAATCGGATGCAGTGTTTGGCAATCAAAACGCTTGAGGACTTTTGGATTGCATGCATAGACAAGGATTCTGTACTCAGAGTATTCCTTTAGAAACTTCTACGTTTGGAGATTTCTGACTCAACGACATCGGCTCGAGGATTTCCTGCCCTTGGAATCACTGACTTACAACATAGTATGGGAACTCGGAGTTAAGGGTACTATCTATTACATACTTATAATTGGATATTATATATTATTTGATTGATCTTCACATCTCTCATAAACATCTTTCCTTTTTGATGTTTTATGCAGGTTTGTCGAGAGCATGGCAGGTGATGGATCATGGAGGGAAGCTTCCTCATCGAAGGAGGAGTGTGCGGTACATGATGAATCAGACTTTGTCGATACCCCGGTAATCGACGAAAGTGATGACACGGATCCCGGTTATCTTCTGGTATAGCACCCATCAGAACCAGCCCTTTCACCAGACTACACACCGGTGGGGCTAGAGCTTCTCAGTTTTGAGTACGAGCCCAACGAGGACGAGGAGGATACTGCTACCTCACCAAAAACCTCACCACCTAGTACCACTCCTTTACATAGATCTTACATGACATACGCGCGTACTCGGGTGAAACAGAACCTGAAGAAGACTACATTCGCTCCCTCTCGGAAGAGAGCGGCGTCCCCACCAACATCACCACCGCCAACAAAGAAAACCTCTGTAGACGCCACTTGGATGCCTCAGATACGATCCTAGAGGCAGGAAGAGGATACTGGCTCACGATTCAAGGTGGGGGAGTCATCAACTGCTCCTCCCCCTACCCCACATACTCCTGTCGAGCAGGCTATCTCTCTTACGGTACCAAATACCTCCCGTCACTCAGATTGCCTTGGAGCGATGGACTCTGAGCTCTTCTTATTGAGGTTGACCCTGACCAAACTCACGAATCGAGTGCAGTACTTAGAGGAGGAGAGGGACATAATGGAAATGCAGACCTTACTCGTCCAGGACCAGCTGCAAGAGGCGAGGGACGAGGCCCAATTCCATTATCAGGTGCTGGAGGAGGTGATCGGGCATACGGACTGTAACGGCCCAAAAATCAAGGGTAAAATTTTCATTTTTATCGTAGTCAAAACACAGATATCTTCTAAATCCAAGCATTCCAAAAACATTGCTAATTAAAAACATTTATTAGAGTTCGTCCCAAAATACATATTGCGGAAAACACGGGTGTGTGCGCTGCGATCAAACCGGGCCCTTCCTTTCCAAACCAATGATACCTGAAATCATAAACAACTGTAAGAACAAAGCTTAGTGAGTTCCCCATAACATACCCCACACAATCCACATAAGCACATAGTCCATATCAGTCACATAAACCATGCATATAAACATATAAGGAAGTCGTGGAAACCCTCCAAGGTCTTACTTCGGGTGCTACGAGAACCCCCACATGGTCTTAGCCCAACTACCATATAAACCATACATACAAACACATAAGGATGCCCTGGAAACCCTCCAGGGTCCTACTCCGGGTGCCATGGGAACCCCCACATGGTCTTAGCCCAAGGATGCCATGGAAACCCTCCAAGGTCATACACCCAAGTGCCTCGGGAACCCCCCGAGGTCTTTACTAAGGATGCCATGGAAACCCTCCAAGGTCTTACACCCTAGTGCATCGGGAACCCCCAAGGTCTTTACTAAGGATGCCATGGAAACCCTCCAACGTCTTACACCCCAGTTCCTCGGGAACCCCCCGAGGTCTTTCATGAAAGTATCACAAATACAACAAGCATACCACATACCACATAATCAACTAGCATACCACATAGAAAGTAATGGGCTAGACTTGGTGCCTTCGACCCATTGGTATGGTGAGGAGACTCACCTCGCACTGCCGAAGTCCCGCGAATAAATCTCTGGCTGCTGGCCGACCGATCCCCAAACTGTCAATCATCAAGACCAAACCCAATTAACCATTTGGGTTTCAATGCATAACCCTAAATCCACACTTGGGGTAAATAGACCATTTTACCCCTAGCCCAAGAAGATTCATAACTATGTCCCAAGCCCAAAACCGACAAGGCACAAAACTGTAAAATCCATAAAAGCCACTAATGGCCCGCTATTGGCCCAATTTTCCAAATTGGACCCAACTCCTCAAATGTGCCTTCCCTTCAATCCCAAATACATTCTTAGCCCAAGTCCTTTCAAAATGGCTCAAGAGTCTTTCCTTTGCTAATGGGCTAAAAGTTTGTGTCCAAAGCTATTAATGGGCCTCATGGCCCAATAAGGCCCACCCAAAACAACTATGACCCCAAAACACCAAAATCAGCCCAAAACTCTAAAAGGGGTACAAACCCAACATTGAATAAGGCCCAATGAATTACAGGCCCAAAAAAAGCCCAAACCCATCTGAGTGCGTACGCCTTGCATACCACTCCAGTATGCACTACGTACATGCTACTATGCGCGGTGTACAAGTCAGACTTGCACAAACAACCATTAAGCTCTTAATGCTTGGAATTTTAACATCCAACTTTAGATCTGAGTCCATTAATATGTCCTAAGGCATAAAGTTGGCAACTTTATGCCTTTGCATGCTCCATATGCTCCCCACAACCCATTAAGACCTTTCCAAGGGTCTTAACTCATACATGAGGTCAAAACACCCATCAAGACTACATTTTTATGGAATGAATGAACTAAGGGACCTCATATCTTCTCTTCCTAAGCTCTAGAGTTGCTTAAACTCCCAAGAGGTAACTTATGAACCCAAAAGAGGACAATATAGCAAACCCTAGCTCAATCTAATGAATAAGATGGCAAGATTAAGACTTTATACCTCCAGAAGCTCTTCAAGATGAACTAGATGCAGGATCTTGAAGCTCAATGCCACACCAAGCTTTCTCACTAACTTCTTCTTCTTGAATAATCTCTAAAATGGCCACAAATATACTTTTTAAGCTCAAGAACACTCTCACAAGGAAATCTGGGGTGAAAGGGTGAAATGAGGCTATGGAGGCCGATTAGGGTTTGGTAGAAATGGCCACAAATACACTTTTTAAGCTTAAGAACACTCTCATAAGTCTAGGAACTTAGATGAGCCTTATATGATAGAAATGGCCAATGGATAATCCGATAGTACTCAGAAAATACTATAAAATTGCCTTCTAACTCTCAATCACCACACTTTTCACGTCAACCTCATGCCCATGACCATCGGTAGCTTCGATGTCATCATTGGCATGGATTAGTTATCGCCACACTGAGCTGAGATCTTATGCTACGACAAGGCAGTACGATTACCCTTACCCAATGGGGAGTATTTGGTAATCAACAGAGATAAGACCAGCAAAAGCCTTAGAATCATCTCCTGCATGAAGGCACAAAAATACCTTCATAATAAATATCATGCTTTCTTGGCCCACATCGTAGACAAGAGGCGCAAGAAGAAGTAAATCAAGGACATACCTCAAGTATGTGATTTTCCCGACATATTTATGGAGGACATGCCCGGACTTCCATCAATTTGCGAAGTTTAATTTCGGATTGACCTAGTCCCAGGGGCAGCTCCAGTGGAAAAATATCCCTATCGATTAGCCCCTTCGTAAATGCAAGAGTTGTTCGGTCAACTTCAAGAGCTTTTGGACAAAGGCTCTATAAGACCAAGTTTCTCACCCTGGGGAGCCTCGATGCTATTCGTAAAGAAGAAGGACGGAACCTTCAGAATGTGCATCGATTATCGAGAACTGAATAAGTTGACGATCAAGAATAGATATCCACTCCCAAGGATCGGCGATCTATTTAATCAACTACAACGATCGAACTTCTACTCAAAGATTGATGTAAGGTCAGGGTACCATCAACTTCGAGTGCAAGAAGGGGACATCCCGAATACGACATTTAGAACTCGATATGGCCACTACGAGTTCCTGGTTATGCCTTTTGACCTAACTAATGCCCCAGTAGTCTTCATGGATCTAATGAATCATGTTTGTAAACCCTACATGGACAAATTCATGATCGTATTCATCGATGATATATTAATATACTCATGAATAGATGAAGAACACGGTCAACACCTCTGATTCATTTTGGGGTTATTAAGGAATGAGAAATTGTATGCAAAATTTTCAAAGTGTGAATTTTGGATCAGGGAAGTAAACTTTCTAGAACATGTGGTCAGCGACAAGGGTATTCACATAGATCCTTCAAAGATCAAATCCATAAAGAATTGGGAAGCACCCACGACACCAACATAATTATGTCAATTTATGGGATTGGCAGACTATTACAATATATTTATAGAAAATTTCTCAAAGCTAGAAAAACCCCTCACGACACTTACACAGAAAGATACGAAGTTCGAATGGAAAGCACAAAAAGAATCGGCGTTTCAGAAGTTGAAACACATGTTGTGTAGTGAGTCAATCCTTTCACTCCTAGAAGGAACCGAAGACTTCGTCATCTATTGTGATGCATCACATCAAGGCATTGGATGCGTATGAAAGATCTAGTATGCCCAAGAGTCATTATACAATGATATTGCTAATAATATATGATCCTATAGGGTCACACCATATAGCAAGTTACCGCCAATTGATTATTTATTAGTATAATTTGATTATTAATAAATAAATCAACACTTGTATTTAATTGGAAAATTATTATTTCATGGAAATAATATTTTACTAATTGGGAATTTTATTATTTGTGGAAATAATATTTATCGGAGAAATAACAACTTATGAAATATATATCATAAAGTATGATTATTTATAAGTTATATTTATATCTTAATAAACTAGTTGGAGTTTATTTATATAAAATTTAGTTTTATATAAAATAAGATATTTATATATATATATATATATATATATATATATATATATATATATATATATATATATATGTTGGGAATTCTTTATAAAAATAATTGATTTTTATAAAGATAACATGTATGTGTATAATGAAACTAGCCATTTCTCTTCTTTTCTCTTCTTTTGGAATGTTTTCGAAAATTGTAAGGAGACCAAGCGTGGTCTTCTTTTGCCATGTTTGGGACAAAGTTGTCCCTCTTTTACTTTATGGTTTCCCTTTGCTTTTTTTTTTGGCCTCTATATAAGGGAGGGCATGGAAGGTTAGAGCGGATGCTTGAAAGCCTTCATTCTTCCTCTTCTTTGGCTAGCAAAACCGAGAGCAAAAGTGCTGCCAAGAGGCTGCCAAATTTCGAAGTTAAAGCATTCTTATTCTCCTCCATTCTCTTGCATTTTGATGCTAGAAAAGGTCCCTTTGTTGCTTCACCTTTGAACATATATTTGGTATATATTTCAAAGGCTTATGAATAACAAATTACAAGTGAATACTAGCATGTTTTGATGGCTTCACTCTTGCTTGGTGGATACTTATAGAGAACTCTTGCTTTAGAGTTTCATGCCACACTTCATCAACTTCCAACCTCCCATGAGGATCAAAGTCTTCAAAGGTTGTTATGCTTTCCCTTCTATGTTTGTTTTAATCTTCCTAACTCTTGTAAAATGATCCTTGGTGGGTAAAATAGTTTTAGTTTTATTCAACATTTTTAAAGCTTCCGTTGTCAATTTTATCGGTTGTGAAACCGGATTTTTGAATAAATACCCAACAGCGTACTTATGCAAAGAGATAACGTCATCTCTTATGCCTCGCGCCAACTCAAGACTCACGATAATAATTGCACCACCTATGACTTGGAATTGGGAGTTGTAATTTTCGCCTTAAAGACCTGGTGATACTGCTTGTATGGCACGAAGCGTGTCATATACACAGAACACAAAAGTCTTCACCACATCTTCAACCAAAGGAACTCAACATGAGACAACGAAGATAGCTTGAGCTATTGAATGACTACGAGTGTGAGATTCAGTACCACCCGAGCAAATCGATGCCCTAAATAGAAAGGAACGAGCCAAACCTCGCAGAGTGAAAGCGCTCACTATAACAATTCAATCATACATTCCTTCACAAATCCGAGAAGCTCAAGTAAAGTCACTTAAGGAAAAAAAAACAAGGCAAAACAATGCTTACGTGGTATGGAAAAACAATTTGA